CTGCTTTTCTAGGAAAACAAAAAAACACTCATGAACGGAGACCTCCTTTTAATCAACGCCTGCTTAAAATATTGACTGCAACGGAGACCAGCTGGTGGCCTTTGGTTTGAGTTAAGAGAATATGTCCCTTTTCTCCATCCATTTTCTGCTTCTTTCAATTTGGGGTTGTTGGGGGAGCTGGAACCTATCCCAGCAAGCAAAGGGTGCAAGGTGGGGTACAGGACGCCAGTCCATCACAGGGCACACACACTCCCACCAGTGCCAGTTTTCCCAGAAGCCAATTAATCTACCAGCTTGTCCTTGGACTTTCCTGGGAGGAAACCCCATGCATACAAACTCCACCCAGATAGCAGCCTAGGTCAGGAACTGAACCCAGGACCCAAGCGTTGCAAGGCGGAAATGCTAACCACTGCATGACTGTGCCACCCTCTGGGAAACGGCTCGGGACCGGGGGTAAAATGGTATCGTTATGGCACCTTACTACACCTAAAATAACTATTTTCCTTTGCAAAGGACAGAAATGTTCTTAGTTCCAGATCTCTGTGTTATTGTAGTGTACTGTAAGACGCACGCCGGCCAGCTCTGCCACGGAGGGGCCGGCGCACATCTGTCTGGGAGCACGGACTTCTCTGCCAGCTCCTCTTCCCAGTCCCATCACCAGCTGCTGCTGCTGCTGCAGGGGCTGTGAGCCTGGAGCTGTGGAGGCGCCTCTGGATTCGCCTGTACAGCCCTCCTGTAGCGCTTGAAAGGGGGGGGGGAGGCTATTTCATCTCTTTGTAATTTCGTCAATGAGAATGGCAGGGCCCCTCTTTTACAACTGCACCTGCAGTCCGTCCTCAGTCATGACATCATCCAGCTTCGTTTTCTTGACAGACTGCGCTAAGCAGGAGCTGGTTTGCAAATCTAGCGAAAGCACGTTCTTCGTGCTTGACAGATGGGGAGTATTTTTCATCATACTCCCAGCAGACCTGCTACCCTTGGCGGAAGTAGCACTGGTGCAATTCGCGGTGCAGCTGTGCGGCAGGAGCGCCGTCGTGGTGCCGGCACAGACTTGAGCAGAGTGAGAAGTCGTGTCGGGTTTGGGATCTGAGCCAGTTTTCACATTACAGGGTATCCCACAGCTCCTGCCCTATCAGAGCCTGTTGCCAGGCAGGCGTGCTCTCGGCGAGGGGACGCGCCGCATCCCCGTCTCTTCCTCGATCCCTCTTCCTCCGTCTCTCGCACGGCCTCCTGCCCCGCCGCCCTGTGGAACACCGACTCTCGCTGCGCTGCCATGGAAACCGCTCATGTGACTCACCTATTAATAAAGCCAGCCAGCCGGTGTATCGGGGCGGCCTGGCTGGAGGTTCCTGTGAGATTTTTACTTTTAAAGGGCCCGGCAGCACAACGTGTGGTTTTGCACTCCTCCCCCCACCACACACACAGAATCGACTGCAGCTTCTATACGGGGGTGTTTCTGTGTGCATGAACACTGACAGAAACGCGCGTGTTTCATCTGCATCACACTATCCTGCACTGTAGCGCACAGAATCGCCCCATTTCTCTTCCTTGACACAAAGGCAGCCGAGCCTCTCGTTAAACACTTGCCACCTCTTGAATAGCAGAAGCAGCACTGGCTGGGGAACAGTTTTGGTAATCGCTCCGAAGAGACAAAAAAAACAACAACAAAATATATGGCAACGGTTACAAGTGGGAAAGCATCCTTCAGTTGACCTGGCTCATTCCTGTCACTCTTAGTTACTCGCTCCTAGGATCTCCTCCAAGCTTGCTCCACACACCCACAACCCCACGTGTAAAAAAAAAAGGAACCTCCTGCTCTCGGTTCTTTTAAATGCAGTTCTGTCCTTGGGGTGAGGCTGTCTGTTCAGGCCGACTCCAGGAAGAACAGAACGCCGCTTGTCGAACTATACAATCTGCACTTTTGTCGGAGGGCCGCTTTCCGGAATTCAGCTGGGCTGAAGCCAAGCACCGCCCTGCCTCACATGAAGAGCTTATGCACCGGGAGCGGAGGGGAGGGAGGAGGCATGAGTGTTAAAAACCGGGCTGTTCTCAGCGAAAGGTTACAGTACAGGTCGGGTTCGTCTAAAGCTCTTCCAACAGAGCGCGGTTACACGTCAGCTCCGTCGTGACCACGCTGGAGGTGCCTCATCATCCGGAGCTACCACCAGTTAGCGTGTAAACCCGCAGTGACCGGAGGGCGGATCCGGTCGCCCGCTCTCCGACATGCGTGCGTGCGCGGGCGGCTGTGTGCGTGTCTGCGCATTCACAAATCCTTCTCGATTGAGTTCACTCAGGAACTAACTGGGCCCGAAGCGCCGGGGGACGAGATTCCACTTTTTATTTTTAGTCTGGCACCGAAAGAAAAGTGGGGGGCGGGGGCGGGGGGGGAGAGCGAGTTCCCTTTAAGCGGAGGCTCGCTGTGTCCCACGGCTCCGCCCCGCTTCACGTTGTTTCTGACTGCGAGGAGCGAGGCGATCCCCGCGCCCCGCGCCGCGCCCTGCCTGGTGCAAGGGGGCTGGCTGGAGATCTGCATTTCAAGCGTCGGGAAAGCACCCCGGGACACAGGGCTTTGTGTGGAGTGGAAGCACGAGCGCCGCGGTCCTGCGTGCGTGTAACCCGTGCCTTTCCCGAGGCAGCGGGCCCCTGCAAAACACGGGCAGAGGCACAAAGTCTGCAATACAAGTCACTGAAGTCACCGCCGCGGTGTCGAAAAACCAGTTTCCCCAGTGAATGCGAGTTTTTTTGTCCACAACTAAAGTCCTAACGATGTTATTTTACTCATACTGACAACTCCCGAATGGTCATTCAAAAAAAAAACAACGACACATTATACACCTGCGGCTCTTGTACCGCACTAGGGATTGTGTCACCGCCTTTCAGCCTCCCATGCTTTTCAGGTACCGTCCTGCCCCGTCCGGTTCCGAGCGGGCAGATCCGTTCGGCGTGCCCGGAGACGGGCCGGCTCTGCGTGATTGATGGGCTCGCAGGCGGCGCGCCAAGCCCCGGCTTTAAATGCAAATGAGCCGCACGCACGACGGGCTGGTGCCCATGTGGACAGGCACCATGCCTTGTTGTTCTGCGCGCCCATTGGCTGCCGGGGATCGACCTGTTTTAATTGCATGCAAATGCGCTGCGGGGGAAGGCTGGCGGGAAAACCCGGCACGGCGTGGCGAAGCCGGGCTCCGGCGCCCAGTGAAGAGCGGTACATCTACCCCCCCCGTACCCTCGCCAAAGACTGCGGTAAAGGGAAAGAGCGCTTCCGGTTACAGGAGCGCTGTGTCTATATTCACCCATCCAAACCACGCAAAACATGCCACAGCCCTAATGCTTCAGCAAGCCCAGGGCTTGTGGGCGCAGCAATGGTGTAGCAAACCGTGCAGTTCACCCCTAGGATGGGAGTCACGATAGATGTTGTTGTCTGTATCTGTATACATCACACAGCAGCGCGCTGAATGTGGGCTGAGGCGCTCGCTTCGGAGTCAGGAATTTGAAGATGACGCCTGGAAAGATCCCCTCTTTCCCGACTGTGCGCGCCCTTCCTGACCCCATTTCCCAACATGTCAGCGCCGGACCTCGAGGGGGACTTCACTCTGGAGGCGACTGCGCACGCGACGACGGGGTGACACGCGAAGCTCCCCCCTCCTCCTCGCGCCGAATTCACGAGCGCAGAGGCCGATGACGTCACGCGATGCAGACTCGCGCTCCCCGAGCCCCGTTCACGGCGTGTCCGTGTCCGTGTCCGGTTTTGCGCCGCGTCTGTAGTATCTGGGAGGGGCCGAAGCGTGGAGAGGGAGGCGGGGAGAAGGGGGCGGGTGGATGAGCCGTGTGTGCTTTTCGTCTTGTTGTGTTTTCTGTTACTCGCATCGCCATCTTGTTGCAACCCCTCTCCGTGTGTGGAAGCCGTCCGAGGAGAGGGATCTGGGATTTGGTTTTATTTATTTATCCCCCCCACCCCGCCGATTTCTCGGAGGAGTGGAAAAGGCGAGCAGCCGGAAGCGAGCACAGCCGCGGAAGCTCCCCGCCCTCCCCGCTCCAGATCTGCAAGAAAAGATCATTTTCGAAGTAGCCGAGGTCCACTACGGGGCGAGAGATGAGCATCGAGACGCTTTTGGAAGCGGCGAGGTTTTTGGAATGGCAAGCACAGCAACAACAGAAAACACGTGGTAAGCGGGGGGTGCCGGGGTGAGAGGAGGGGTGGTGGGGGGGACACGCAGGAATTAAACCAGTCCAGAAAACACCAGTCCCGTCCGTGTTCGGTGCGTGGACGTGTGCTTCAGACGTGACCGATTCAGTGTCTTTAAAATGAGAGGGGAGGGACCTCTTTGACATCTGTTGTGATTCTTAAGATTTTTGTTTTTTAAATGTGCGCGTCTCCTGGATCTCCTTCACACGCTCCGCCGCGGTGGTCCGTCCTGCCGCCGGTGGTGTAGGTGTAACAGGGGGCTGACTCCGGGTGTAATACTTTGCTTCATCTGCTGTTGTCGGCTGGTTGGAGTTGCTGGTTCAGTGCGTGTGGGGATGCCTGACGATGACTGCTGCGTACTAAGCGGATCGCCCGCAGTCTTGCTGTGCAGACCTTCCTTGTAGGAGCCTGCTGCTGCTGCTGCACCTGACCGAAGGTGGTCGTGGGCTCCACAGGGGTTCCGAGAGGAGACGGGTGCGGGGAGAGGAGGAGGGGGGGCGTTTACTCTTCCGCACAACCTGCGTTATCTGTGCTCTGCGCCACGTGTGTGTTAATTTGTTGGTGCACAAAGCCAGCCTTCGCCACCCTCCCGGCGACGGCTCTGCCAGAGGGGTTCCCTCGAGTGCCCGCCGTGGGGAGGAGGCTGCAGCGGCTCTCCGCTCCCCCGGGCTGCGGAGGCGCGCCGTTTTCACACTCAAAGTTGATTTTTAAAAATGGAAAAGGGAAAATTACACCCCCCCCCCCCAAGAAAAAATAATCGAATTCGTTTCACTCGGCGTCGCGTTTCTGTAAAGGATTCAGTCGGTCCGTCTGCAAGGGCGGTGGCAAAACTTAAGAGACGTGCCAAACCCTTTTTAACAGAATGACTTGTCAGGCTCGGGTGTCATATGACGCACTTTTACAACCTACTTCCCTCTCAAACTCCTGACGAGCTCGGGGTTTTTTTTTTTTCCCTCTCCTTCTTTGCGGAAACTCCTTATATGTGTACTTTTTTGCTCGTTTCAAAAGCCGGGGTGTCGGGGAATTGGGGGTAAAAGGACAGCGACACCGCAATTCAGAACAATTCTCCCCTCCTCCTCCTCCCTACCCACCCCCGAGACGAAACGTGTAGCGTCTGGGTTGTTTGTCGACCCAGCCCGGTGGGTGCCGCACGCGAAAGGGTTTTGTTAAAGCCCGCTGGTGACGTGTCAGCTGTAGCCACACCCCCCAGGCGAGACCGCGTGTCTGGGACCCGCCCCCCTCGACCACGTGCGCGCCGGGCACTCCTGCCAGACTCTGAAGGGTTTTTTCACCCCTCCTCCCTCCCCATCCTCTCCTTCGCTGGCGGGTCAGAGCCGGTGAGGAAAATAGGGCAGTTTTGTGTTCCCCTCTCCCTGACACACACACACTGCGCATAGGCCGTCTGTGCGCGTTATATAAGGCCGTATTTGTGCGTTTAAAAAGTGGAGCTTTGGCTGAAAGCACCGATCATCTCATTACCGTACGCTGCAATGGGGAAAAAAAAAATATGTGACGTTGGAAGTGGCCGATCCTTTTGAAAAGGAAAACGCAAATACGGTCATTTTGCGACAGTGAATCCGTCGTTTCTTTGTTCCCCGGTTAGGCTGCAGCGAGTAAGTGTACGTGTCTATAGTAAAAACACCCGCTTCCGTAGCGGCGTTCGACACGATAGCCCCCAGACCGCCGAACAAAGAAAAAGGCGATTTTTGTCGTGCTTCTCCTGCCTGCAGTTGAAAGTGCGGCGTTCAGTCGAGTGCGGGGAGGCGTGTCGTTGCGGTGCCGTGACGCGCGGCTTGACGAGCTGGCGAGCTGTCCGGTGAAGCGTGCCGGCGTTGGGCGCCGCGGACCGGGCCGGCGGTCGTGTGGGCGTCCGCTGGACGAGCGTCCGAGCTCCGCTGAGGATCACGGAAGTGCAAAAAAAGAAAACCCCCTTTAAAAGAAGCACGCTCGTCTAAAGATAACGAGAAGAAATTGCCACACAGTGCTAGCGAGCTCTTTCCATGTGGGCGTCAGTGCAGATGTGCTCGGTCATGCCCGCTGCAGAACTGGCTGACCCTTATACTGATGGAATCTACATAAACTCCCTTTAAAAATCCTCGCCTTCTGTGCCAGAAAGGTTAAACATCTTATAGATGCACGGCAAAATCTAATTTCCCAGACTGCAAAAGGGCTCTATTAACACTCTTGACATAAACCTTAATGCTGCCATAAAGTCATAACGTTAACGTCATTTTTAAGCTGATTGTTCTTCCTTCTTCAGCTGCACAGCTCTCCTGTGTAAGCTGACTACACCCCAGCGCAGGCGGCGTGGCCTTGAATCAGATAATGGGTCAGATTTCACTGGCTAGGTGATGGACTTTGCTTCTTTCAGCGGTGTCATGCAGAAATGCTGTTTTGTATTCCTTCGAAGTGGGAAGCTAGGCAGGCCTGTACAAAAGCAAGAAAGCACGTGTGTTTTGCTGGCCTTGGTCTTCGCTTCCAGTATTTGCGGTTTAGTATTGTCGGTAGGCCACTCTCTGCTGTGCTCATGAGTTTTCAAAGCCTTCAAACTCTCAAAAAGGCTTTTGATACTGGTGCCAAGGGTGTCACCTCAGATCGGAAAAGCAGGCTTTCGTAAAAGGCCATCCTGACCCCCCTACACCATCCTTTTTCCTCTCATCAGGGATTGTATCCAACTGCCCTTTCCTGCAGGTCCCACGCGTGTGCTCCTGTTTGTGTTTCAGCGCTGGTTCTGAGAAGTCCAGTGGGTCGGCATTGTCTGTGCCTTTCAGGGTTTTGACGATACTGGGAGTGGGCGAGGCCGGACTGGTGGTTTCTTGGCCCTTCGTGGGTTTCCAGACATTAGACGAGGAGGCCTGGTTCCCTTCAGAGTGCTTGGGTGGGGGGCCTTCAGTGTTGCCCCAGAGCTTTTCACAGCGCAGGGGGGTGGGCAGTTCGCGTGGTCTTAGAACTGCCTGACAACAAAAGAAAACAAGACCAGCTTCATGAAGGCAAGCTCTTATCCCTTGGCTAAGGGCCCTGGGGGAGCTGCAGAATGACAGGATCCATCAGCTGCGCGTGTGAGCGTTTCGGGGTGCCGGAGCCCCTTCTGGAAGTGTAGGACGCTGGACCGAAGGGGCAAAGACCGGTGCAGTTCTCTGGGGAAAAGGAACGGTTTAGAAGAGCCAGCAGGTCTTTGGTAGGGCGGCAGGCAGCCAGAGCACCTGGTGGAATATGAGTGATCACAGGATGGACGTGCAAGCTCCACACAGACCGGCACCCAAGGCTGAATATGAGTGAGAGCCGTTGAGCCGTGAGGCAGTGAACCATCACACCACTGTGTGTGATGAAGATCCAGGTACCTCTGGTGCCTCTGGAAGAACGTTTAGCTCGAAGGGTTGGACCAGGAACTCTGGCTTATCGAGGGCTATGTGAACCTTTAGTTTTCCTTCCATCAGAGCATTTGGATGACCTAATTGTGCTGTTTTTTTTCAGTTGATTTGAGCAGTTCAGGATGTTCTACACGTTTTTTCATCTAAAACTAGACCTGTGGGATTGGGGGTCCTGAAGGATTAGACTTTGCACCACTGCATCCCAGATGCTGTTGGGACTGCAGCAAGTCTCCCATAAACTGCTGCTATAGGTGAGACAGACAGCGCTCCGCCTACTGGGTTCACCCCCGTTGCTCCTTTACGCAGCTGAGCCAGGTTTAGTGAAGGTCCTGCCTTGTTTGTTGCCCTTGGTATGACGTGAATAATTATGAGGAAAAATACATATACACGTTTATAGCATCTCTTGCCTCTGCAGTCTCGCATTGTTTTATAATGGGACCATTCAGGTTGATTTTGAAGCCCAGGCTGGTAAGCTGTGCTGTGCATGCAGATCTTTCCTTTATTGTTCTGTATGCAGTGTTAATATTCATCATTTTCCCTCTAGTATCAAGCCCTGCCCAGCAGAGAGCTCTTAGCTGACTACCAGGCCTAATTTAAAACAACAGCTTGTAAGCATCTGAGCTTTGCATCTTAGTCCATACTGATTTTTAGATGCTCATTAGGTAGATTGCTGAGTGCGATCTGAGCACCTGTACAGTTTTATTAGCATTTTTAATGAGTGAGAATGTGAGAACATAAGCTGTTATAAATCTCACTGTCTTGGTCACTAGACGTTGACTGGCCCCGTGGTTTATCCAGCTGTTGTCTAACAGATCCAAGGGAATCTGCTTCAGCAGTAATGACTGGGTTACTTATTCCAGATAGACACCAGCTTTGGCATAAAGCAGTGTCTTCTGTTTTAGCCCTGAAACACACGCCTTCCACAGTTTTCTTTGGTTAGTTAGCAGAGGTTAACAGCTGTTTTGACTCCAAACAGTTCAGAGTGCAGAGAAAAAGCAAGCTCACACTTTTTTTTTTTCCTGCTTGTGGAAAGTGTCCTTTCCGGGACTCAGCGGAGCAGAGTAGCTGTGTTTGCCTGGGTGTGTGGTGCGTGGTGCGTGCCCTCTCACTCCTCTCACATTACCGATGGTGCCTTGCCAGAGGACAAACAAGGCATCACCACGCTGGAAGCTCGCACTGGCAGCAGAGGTACTAGATATATTCAGCTGAGTAACTGTGGGCCCCTTCGTCACTCTGTAAATATAGCGGAGAGTACAACCCTGCCAGTTTCTTCGCAGTGGTGCTCATGTTTCCGAAAGAGACATTTTCCACTGCAGCTATTTAAGGCATGTGCTCAGGGGCTGTCTCTTAATTGCCGTGCTGCTGCTCTGTAGGTGTGTAATCGGAGTAATGCCTGATGGCGTCTGGGAACATCGGCTCAGTCACAGTCTTGCCCAGCGCGCGGTGTGAGCTTCTGACTGGGGACATTCTTGCTCATCGTCATCCCTCAGTGCCTGCTGCTAGTACTGGCTGATTTGTTTTGGGCTAAATCTTGGGTTGTACAGTGACCACCATTGTTAAACACCGAGCAAAGGACATGAGGTTTTCATTTCCAGGCCTCTCTGCCTCGTGACTGCACTGTCCTGGGGATAAATGTGTCAGTTTTGTTCCTCCTTCTCAAGAGGCGCTTATCCGTCCACGTTCCCGAGCTCTCCAGTAGGAACCAGAGTGTGAGTTAAGGCTGAGAGGGCTGGCTGGTGCTCTCCAGCTTCCTCCACTGTGTCCCCAGCGTCTGTCTGTGCTGCCGCCTGCGGTCTGGGTGGCTGAGTGCCCTGGCCGGCCCGTGAGCACCAAGGAGAGGGTCACTAGGCAACTGGTGAGCCCAGGTGCGGGACAATCTTGGACGTCCTCCAGGTTTCTCTGCATTCTGCTGGCCACACGTGTGCGTATCGGTATCCTCCTCCTCCATTGAAGAAAAGGCTCTGCTGCTCCCCTTCCTGCGCCGGGGCAGTTTCAGTGCCCGTGCCTCAGCGCGCTGGGGGGCAGCTCTTCTGCAGCTTGCAGGCACAGAGGTCTGTGGTCGAGCTCTTTCTAAGCTTTGTAATTATTAAAGGTTGCCGCAGGAACGAGAGCAGAGGGTACTGATCTCACCTTCGTCTCCGATGCTTTATCTCAGATGCGAGGATCCCACTGACACAGGCGACTGAGAATCGGAATAATCCGGGGAGCTCATTTCTGTGCTCTTTTGGCTGCTGAGAAATCCCTCCAGTTCGCTCCCAGGGTTCCTTAAAAGGCACAGTGGTGTTTCTAAAGCACGAGGCAGAGAACGCAGAAGCAGGCAGCTGTGTGGTGTGCTGGACTTAGAGCTCTGGACTTCTGACTGGGAGGTTGTGGGTTCCAGTCCCATGTGGGGCCCTGCGGTAGTACCCTGGAGCCAGACCCTGCACTGCGGTGGCTTCAGTATAGCGCCCAGCTGTATAAACGAGTCCAGATATGCGGCGCTGTGGAGAAAAGCATGAGCCCAAACACTCATAAGAACAATAAGCGGAGAAGTCTTTGCAGGCCTGCTGAATTGATCCCCTGGCTAATGAGATCAGAAAAAAGTAGCTGAAGGGGCTGGTGGGGTCCGGGTCTGAGGTAGTGTAGGTGGTTAACAAGGTGCTGGGAGCCGCTGTCTGGGACAGTGTGGGTGTTCAAGGAGCTCTGCGTGTTAAACCTGCTTGCTGTGTTTGCCATTTGTTTGCTGATTCCTGACGGTACAAAGCGGCCTCACTATGCTGGATGTCTGGCCTGGGGCAGTGGCCGGGCTCAAAGAGCCCGGCGGCGGTGTGGAGTGGTTGGCGCGTCTCTGTAACGAGGCCAGGCGTCTGTGTAAACTACGTCTCTGCCGCTGCCAGATGCATTTAAACCCCCCCCACCACCACCACCACCACCACCACCCCCGTTGTGGCTGTCAGAGATGGATTCGGTGCGCCGTTCTTCTGTAACGGGGGAAAATTACAATGCAACCTGCTGAAACGGCCACATATGATCCTTATTGATGTGCAGCGGAGCTTTCGAGTGTCTGACTCTAACATCCGTGTTTCCATGGCAACGCGAAGGCCCACCCCGGTTAGCTGCTGCAGCCTGCCCTGCTCCTCGGGGGGGGGTGTCTGCTACACTGCGGTCTGATTGGAGCTTCCAGGTCCCTGGAATTCAGTGTCTACCTCTCCCTCCCCTCCCCCTTTCTTATAAATCAGGTAAAGCACATATTTCTACTCCCGTCTTTTGTCCTGAGCACGTGCTACCGAGCACGGAGTCTGAGATCTAACGCGTGGGGTTCGAGGTAAATGGCTCCAGTTGCATGCAGACCTGTCTTTTGAGCCTTGAAAGGAGAAAAGGTCCTCCTCCCCCCCTTTGTCTTTCCTCCTCTGTCTCTCTCTCAGGTGTGCGGTGTCTGCTTCTGTGTGACGTCTGTCTGAAAGGTCGTGACCTCCTGCTCTCTGTGGGCAGCTGGGGGATGTGTGCTCAGAACTGCCCTTGTGTGTAATATTAGGTGAAATTAGGCCTGGGGGTGTGTGGTTTGTGCAGTGGTTAGGACTGCTGCCTCACAGCGCTGGGGCCTTGGGTTCAGTTCTGGACCTGGTGTGCTGTCTGCGTGGAGTTTGTATGTTCTGCCTGTGGTCAGGTGGGTTTCTTGCAGACGATCCGGTTTCCTCCCACAGTCCGGAGACTGGTAGATACTGGTAGGTTAATTGGCTTCTGGGAAAATTGGCCCTGGTTTGAGTGTGAATGTGTGCGTTTGAATCTGCCCTGCGATGGACTGGCATCCCATCCAGAGTGTGTCCTGCCTTGTGCTCTTTGCTTGCTGGGATAGGCTCCCACATGGCCCTGGATTGGATGAAGTGGTTAGAAAATGGATGTCATGCATGAAACTAGACCTGACTTTACAGATGTCTGGAAATAGCTTTTGGAAAAATGCATTTTTGGGTAGATAGCCCCCAGTTTTTAACTGTGTCCCCATGGCTGCCAGTGTTTTTCTGAGATACAATAATGGGTTGTGCCTCAAAGCATTGTACTTCAAATAACTGCAGATTGTTGTGCATGAAAAACAACTATAAAGTTGCCTTATTTGTCATTTATGTTAAAATAAATGTTGGCCACAGACCTCCAGTAGGAATCTCGTGCTCTAGTCAGGCTTTCCTGAGCTAAAAAAACAAATGACCAGGTCCTGCAGGCGGGAGAGGTGAGACTGCCCTATAGTGACCTCAGGGGAATGTTCAGAACAGCCCTCCAGTCTCTCAGGGGCGTCAGCTGTTTCCTCAGCCTGAATCAGCCCCTTCGCCGCACAGCGACGGTCTCTTCGGCCCAGGACGTGCAGACTGAGAGGGTTTGAAATCCTGTGTCTCTGCCGAAGTGTTGAAACCTAGATGAGTGCATGCGACCCCCCTCCTGTCCCTCCCCCGTACCCACTCTGCTGTGTGAGTCAGTGTGGGGGCCCTGCGAGGAGACTCTGCAGTCTGTCCTGTCACTGAGCCAAGCTTGCAGTGCTCGCGAGCAGCTCAGATTTTGCTCCAGATTTTCCCGGACAAATCCGATTGCAGAGTCAGCTCAGGGATGCCTTCCGTCCTCTAAGCTCCCGGTGTTTTTTTTCCTGTAGGCGTACAGTTTTCTTGGACCTCTGCTGGGACAGGAAACGCCGGCACCTTGGTGCCGTTCGGCTTCTTTTCTGCTTTCCTCCCCCTTGAAAGCGGGAAACAGTATTTGCTTACTGCAACTTTCAGACTGTTTCCTGGTTATTTTCCCTGTCGTTACTCTGTCGCTTTTGGCAGGCTGGTGTTAATAGTGGCAGAGGCTCAGCTGCACACTTGTACCCTAAAATATTCACAGCCTTGTGCATAAGGCTCTGCTAGAAGCAGAAGGCCCGCAGTTGCCAGACACTGCTGTGTTAGTGTCTTGATTTATTTCACGCATGTCACTGTGTGGCACCAGGACAGAGACCTTCCACTGTGACCTGACAGACACTGCTATTTAATAGTGTGCCAGAGTAAGAGGAGGATTTCTGAACTCTACCACAGACCCTTTCTTCAAAGGAGTAACGTGACTGGGGTTATCCTGAACACAGCCTGATAACCTTTACTTGACAGTACATGGAGAGCTGGTTAACTCCCCAATGTCAGATACAGTTGATTGTGCCATGAATATTTGTCTGGTCCTTTGGTGGCTTTTGTCACAATTTGTTTCCGAATTCATCTTGGGGATTTGAATTTGTGTCAGTTTTCTTGGAGCGGAACGCGATTCTTTACGGTCTTCTTTACATACTCCCTTTTGTGTATTTTCCTTCCTTTTTAAGACCTAAGGCATCAGGTGCTTGGTACACTGGAACAAAAGCGTAGGGGCAGCACCTGAGATCATGGCCCTTAGATAACATAAACAGCTCTTCATGGGTAATCTGCTGATGCTGACAGACCCAGGTGGGAGTGCCGCTGTGTCAGCCACGCCCACCGTGAGTCAGTGTTCTCAGCTGACACTTATGCAATCACAGCCTCTGCAAAGGAATACAGAAGGACTGAAGGAAACAGAAAGATTTCACTGTCCTGTATATACTCTATAGTTGTGATTTCCCTGTGGATTTCTCTGTCAGTTGCAGTGCACAGTAGATATTCCTTGTTACACTGAAAGCTACTTTCTTAGAAAGAAAAACCTCGGCTGACATGCTGGTGAGAGGAAAAGCAGGCTAACGGATCTCTCTTGAAAGGAAGATGGAAGGCAGGGGGTTAGAGCAGTTGTCTGGACATGGTGCAGGTTCCTGCTGGCCTCAGGGAGTCTCCCGGTATCGGTGATCTCGGCGGGGCACTGACGGGGTGTGTGGTTTGTGCCTGTTGTCCACAGAGGAGAATGAGCTCTTGGAGAAGGTGCGCTCAGACCGGGAGGCGGAGCAGAAGCGGGTGGAAGTGATGTCACCAGTGCAGGCCATGCGGACGAACCACGTGGGCAGGGGCGAGGAGGCGTGCCCAGAGCATCACCCCAGCCCGGCCCC